CTGTGTAAGAATATAAAGGGTTACATACTTAACAGGAGGTAAGAACTTATCTTTGTTTGTGCTGAAGTAACTGTGGGTGCATCAAAAAAACACACAAGCTTGATCTGCCTAGGTCTTAGAGGAATATGAATTTCAAGATGGGTTATTCTAGCTCTGACATTATGTACATTTACGCCGAATTAAGAACGGACAGTATGTTCGTAATATTTATTAAGATATTTCATTGAGAGCGTTTTTACATCCCTTGATCCGGTTCCACTAATGCTTATTATTCGGTATTACATCACGAATTAGGATACGATATATTCATAAACGATTTCTTTTTAAAGCTGATGGGTCTTTTGTCAATAAAATAGCCGTCGATCGCCCGTATGAACATACATATGTATATAGTATGGTAGAGTTTTATAAACAAAAGTTTTAGTGTGTGATTAAGTCCGATCCAGTTGAAGAACCAGGTTATATGAATAGAGGAATAAGAATAACATTTTTGGCTGGATAGCTACAAAATTCAAGAGGTCTGACAGGATATTTAGGGTAACACAAAAAAATGTGAAGCTTGAATCTGCATTTTTAATAGCATTCCAAGAGTTCTCGTGCACGAAAGAACCAAAAGATACAATTACAAAACGCACTTACTCAACACGCCATATTACAGCTAGATATCTATATTAGAAAGGCGAGACTGTATGAAATTGTCTTATTTTGCCAAGTGGACGGCCGTTGTTATTCTTTATCCATTATGCTTTGGCTCAATGAGTAACTGCCATGTTGCGGTGCCGGAGCTTTAGCTTTGCTTCATACCACGATGGCTGTGGTTTGGATTGCTTCACATGCCCTGGCATGGCCACAAAGTCAAAATCTATAATATACATACTATGTACTAATATACATACATACTATATATATATATATTTATATACAAATATATACATATATAAGTGGCGATGAAAAAACTGGCGCACTACATTCAGTGCAGAAGAAATTGTTAATAGCGAAAATGGTAATAAAACACCTGGCCAATTTTGTTGTTGTTGTTGTTGTTATTGTTGTTTTTGCTAGTTGCCAACACGAACGATGTACAATTTTCGTCTGGGCTCTGCTTCAATCGTGTGGTTTGCCTTCTACGGATGGCAACAACACTTCTGGGTCTATTTATGAGTTCTTTAGCACTGCCATTAGAGGCAGGTAAGGCAAGACTTATCTCGCTGCTTGTTATACTCTGTACATGAAATGTACAAGAGTATATTAGGTTTGCGGGAGCTGAAAAATGTAACAGGCAGAAGGAGGCGTGGCAGACCCCACAAAGTATATATATTCTTGATCAGCATGACGAGACGAGTCGATCTAGCCCTGTCTGTCTGTCTGTCCGTCTGTCCGTCTGTCCGTCCGTATGAACACCTAGATCTCAGAGACTATAAGAGATAGAGACACCAAATTTTGCACGAAGATGCGTTATGTGTGTATTCTATACGAGTTTGTTTTATTTTTTTGATTTTCCCCCCCACTTCCCCCCTATGGGGGTTTTCCCGATTTTCCATTCGTATAATCGCCTATATCTCGGAGACTATAAGACCTAGGAACACCAAATTTTAGTCCCAGATGCCTTATGTGAATACGCAGAAAATGTATATTTTGGAATTCCCCTCCCTCCCCCCTCTACCCCGCAAATCGTAACTCCCGTAATTCTTGGAATTTCGAACTAAAATTTTGCAAATACCCCCAGTTAGTTATTATGTGTCCGTATGCCAAATTTCATTATGATAGACCGATTTAACAAGAAGTTATAGCCATAAATATATTTGCTGATGCAGCGCTGCTGCAGCGCTGCTCAAGCGCTGCCCGCGGCTGTTGTTGATGTTGCTGTTTGGTTGACTGCGAAAATGCTTACACAGTCACGAATTGATGCGCATAGGCATACATACACTCACACAGACGCAATTGCTATGTAAATGTGCAATTATACACCCTTTACGTGAGTTCGAATACCGAGAGAGGTAAAATCGATCAAATTTTTTTTTTTATTTTCTTAATTTTTTTTATTTTCTATAATTATTGTAAACATATGTACAGAGTATTTCAAAGTCGGGACACCCGACTTTAGCTTTTTTACTTGTATTGTATCTATAGCTACGGCGAATTCACCCTTTTAGCCACCTCAAAAATATCTTCCGTTTCCAACAAGTGCGTGGCATGCAGCGCAATGAACAAAATGCAATCAGCTCTGCATCTCACAACGGTTTATGGAGTATGAAAAGAACGCGTTGTTGGTTTTCATTTGTTGTCATCAGCTGATGTTGCTTGTGAGTCCGCCAGACCCCATTTCAGTTCCAATTTGCCTCACAAATGGCAGGCTTAATTAAATTTGACGAATTTCTTGATCAGAATTTCATCTTAGTTGACCTGTAACTTGGGTTGTTTAGCAACTGGTTACAATTCCCACAATTGCTGCATATAATTATAGTTCGCATAGTGATCCGACATTTTTTATGGAATTACTAATCGGCTGTAATTTTTTTTAGCTCATGAAATGTACAAGAGTATATTAGGTTTGCGCGAGCTGAAAAATGCAGCAGGCAGAATGAGGCGTGGCAGACCCGACAAAGTATATATATTCTTGATCAGCATGACAAGACGAGTCGATCTAGCCCTGTCTGTCCGTCTGACTATCTGTCCGTATGAACACACTGTGCAAGTTTGTTTTATTTTTTTTGATATTCCCCGCCTTTCGCCCTATGGGGGGTTTCCGATTTTCCATTCGTATAATCACCTATATCTCGGAGTCTATAAGACCTAGGGACACCAAATTTGAGTCCCAGGTGCCTTATGTGAATACGCAGAAAATATTTTGAAATTTACCTCCCTACCACCCTCCCCCCTCCCCCTGCAATCACTGATTTTCCATAACTCCCGTATTTCTTGGAAAATACTTTCAGTTACATAGTTATTTTGAGCCCGTATGCCAAGTTTCATAATGATAGGCCGATTTAACAGGAAGTTATAGCCATATATGTATACATATATGACCAGGCCGTGCCCGCAGCTGTTGTTGTTGTTACTGCTTTGTACAGAAAGAAGAGACATACACAGACACACATATACGCATATGTACAGAGTATTTCAAAGTCGGGACACCCGACTTTAGCTTCTCTACTTGTTTAATTTATTTTAGCGAAGAGTAGATACCTAAACATTCCTAAAGAAAATATAATACAAACTCAATTTGCAAATAATAATTTTAAATTCTTCATAGTAAAGGAAAACACATTTTACAATATTTATATGTAGTTGCACAGATCCAATGTATGTAATTATATAAAATACTGGGCATGGCTACTTTTGGTCCAAAATAACTCGACATTCAAGCAAACGCACACACGAACTTGACTAATCTGATTTATTTTGTCACGCCGATTATATATTCTATAACATTTGTATAGAAAGTTTTATATTTGTACAGATAGTATTACATTAGTGCAGATAGTATATAACATTCTGTCTAATATACATACATAGGATAGATACACATATGTACATATGTTTATACATATATAAACATGTATGTACATATATTTATTACGAACTTCTTCGAAAACGTCTTCGCCGTTTTGATGTATAGATAGTATGTACATATGTATGTATTTATCGTATGTTTGCAGCAAGACAAAGTTGATATTGTAAATAATAAAACAATTAAAGCGATTAAGAAGCGTTTTGTTTTAAGTCAGCATTTACATATACAGAGCTACAATAAATGTGAATATGTATGAAAGTATGTTAGCATGCATGCAAAAAGCAGAACTCCCTCACAAAAGTTGGATAGCACTGAAGTCGCAGCAAACAATGGCCAAGCAACAGCAATACAAAAAGCATATTGGATGCATAATATGAATATATGTATGTATTTACAAATGTATGTATACATATATGTATATATAATATATATGCATGTAGGTTTAATGCAAGCGAATATCGTATATGTATGTGTATGTGACCCAATTAAGTAAACCATGCACGGCTGTGTGAAGCAGCTGCCTCTATTGTTTTTGTAATTATGATAGCTCCTCTCTCTCTGTGTTTGTGTGCGCATTAGAGCCAAGACTTGCAGCGAAGCGAAAAAAGTTACCACTCTTGCAGCAGCAGTAATTGTTTTCGTCTATACAATATATGGATGTAGTATTTTGAAGCGAAAAGTAGCGAGAGCGTCAACTTTTCTATCAAATGCACACATACATAATACATTTTCCAAATGAATTGCGTATAACACAAAAAAGCGATCAAAAAACCAAATTGGAACGGAAGCAGTCGTAAGTAACAACACTTTCCAAAAACGAAGAGTCAGAAGCTCTAAATATTAATGCGCTACTAAAGTATAAGAAATGCTTTAAAATGCTTATTAAATTGATATTTGAATTACATACATACTTATAAATGTAGGTATAAACTTTGGCACATACACACAACGCCATACAAGCAAGGCCCCACCCATTGAATGCAGAGAGTCAACCACACAGACTTACAGGAAGGGCAGAAAACAACTCTTGCAAGTCCTGTGAAGTGTAAAAATTGAGTGGCCCAGGGGGTTGGGCTTTTAATGCACCAAAAATGCAACGGAAACCTGCAGAATATACGCGTAGGTGTGTATATGTATATATTCATACATATGTATATGAAGCAAGTGAGAGACGGCGCGAGAGCAAGTTAACGGTACACACCCCGGTCTCGGTGTAATAAAAATGCAATAAAATACTCACACACACACATAAGAAACAGCCGGACATGCAGTCAGCTGTATATAGACAAAGAAGTATACCAACAAATTTAATGATTTCTTAAGGCTCAGGTAATGAGTAAGCATAGAAAAGTGAGGAAATCAAAAGAGTCAACTTTCAACTTTTACCTGACTATGCCAATTAAAAATTCACAATAAACTTTTTGACACATGATGAGTCAGTATTTTTTCCACCTTTTATTATTATTGTTTTATTGTACAGACTTACCTGTGGTGAAGAGCCGGCTGCGAGGATATCGCCCTCCGACAACTCCGCCTCTTGCTGCACTGGCTGCGGTAGCTGCTCCTTGGTCTCTTCGACGAGATGCTTTTCCTCGGTTGAAGAGAGTGGAGATGGTGTTATGTCTACAAAGGCGACCGTCTCCGGTTCCAAATTAAGAGTAGTTGTTGTGGTGGTAGCGTGTGTTGTTGCCGGTTGCAGAGACTCATCAAGCGGGCTTAAGGCTGGAGCACTTGTATCCAGTAGCAAGCTTTCATCATTCAGTTGCTGCTGCGCATCCTCGGATGTATGCTCAATGTACACGGACGCCTGCATAGGATCTTGGGTAGTCGCGAGTTTCTGGAGTGATAAATCATCAAAGAACTGATGACCGGCAGTCTGAATTTGCAACTCCTCAGTAGACGGCGACTGTGAAATATGTTCCTTTTCCTCAACATGCAGCAACTCCTTTTCGGCAGTAACTACCTCTGCGTATGATCCCAAGAGCTGTTCCTGCTCATCGCTCGTAGTGGGCAATGGCTGGACTGAGTTAAGAATGTCCTCGATCGAGGCGTTGTGTTCGCCATAAATCGACTGCTTCATAATATCATTTGAAACCACATTGGCGGCCAATGCCTCGGTCTCAGATGGATCCAAATCAGCCTCCAAATCAACGCTTGTCTCTGGACCATGATCAATACGCTGGTAGTCCAAGACATCAGCAACGGAGGAGGCCCCACCGGCATCGTGTAACAACTCCTCTTGTGGATTAACACCATCTCCAAATAAGTCGTCTCTTTGCTCCAATTCATGCGGACGTTTAGCTGCTTCGTCGTCAAATTCCGATTCGTCGGGCACAGCAATGGCATCCATGTTGCAGATGCGTATGCCTTTACGCGGACTCTCCGCCACCACATCATCGATAGCAACAGCTCTTAGCTGCCGCCCACTGCCACCAATTGCGGCAATGGGCTCGGGCTCAACAGGAGAAGTGGGCTGGGAGCCAAAGTTTGGAACAAACTCAACGGCGTTGGGGTTTAGCTGAGAGTGATGGTCATCGAGGCCACCTATGTCAGTGTATTGATGTGACGGCAAAGGAGCAGGATTATCGTTTTCCTTGTCATCAAATAGATCAAAACTAAGGTTGTGTGGTGGCTGTTGTTGCTGTGGCTGAAGGTTCTTTTCTATTAAAAGTTCTGCCTCTAGAGGCGTGGCATTGTTTTCACTAAGACTGCTTGTTCCATAAGTCGTGGCAACCGAGCTAGGATCCTCGTCCTCATTCTGCAATGGCAGCTCCTGCTGCTCTTCAGACTGTTGCTGCAGCTCTACTTGCACTTCCGGCTGGGATATGGCAGCCACAGGTGCTTCTTCCACCTCACCTGTCGATGTGGTCGTGTTGGAATTTGTTGAAAAATCACCATCTGTCTTAATTACTTCAATATCTTCCTCTTCGTAAGCCAAAAGGGAGGCTGCCCTGCTGCCATTGCCCCCATTATCAAGCGATAGGTGCGGGCCACTGTCATCGTTACCGTTGCCCACAATTTCATTTAGGTATACAGCGCCAATACCATTGGCTGAAACGTTATTGCCTACGCCAGCGCTTAAGGCGGCGTCAACGTCGGCATCTCTGCCTCTACCAAGCTCTTCGCTGAAAAGTTGTTGCGGCTGCTGCTGTTGCTGCTTTTCGCTCTGCTGCACTTCTTTTATGTACTTCCATTCTTCTTCTTCGTCGGGTGAGCACGATTTTGCACCGATGCTAGGCACCAACTCCCCGGCAACGTCTGCAACATCAGCAGCGCCGCCTGCGATTTGCAGACTCTCTAGCCTATTTGACAAATAATTGTCTAACTGTGCGTTATCCTCATGCTCCATTTCGGCTTCGTTTAGTTAGCTGCTATTCACGATAATGTGTGTGTGCTTTCAGAATTTTTCGTTATGTTAATTTTTCGCTGCGTTTTCCAATAAACAATTTTGTGTCTTGTAGCTTTTAATGTATATATATGTACGTACGAAGTTGAATAAATATTGCCAAAAATGATTCAGCTCGTTCGCTCGTGATTCACACACCGATACGCTTCTTTGCTCTTCTTTTTGCGAAATTCTCCTTTTTTCTCTCGCACTGCAAGCACACACGAACAGCCACCAGTCTCATACACAGTCACAAACTTCTTCGCTTTACAGTGTTTCTAAGCAGTCCTGCTCCTTAGTACTCACTGCAATCAAGGCAAAACGTTCACGCACACACAATATAATTTAACAAACAGCTCAGCGGCGTTAAAGGTTTAAAAAGAGCAAAATCAAGTTTCTGTCTTGCAGCTACTTTGAAATTTACACTTGCCAACCGATTATTGCGCACGCACAACCTTCCTACCAAAAAACAGAATTCACAATGAACATTGTGGCATATTGGTGCTGAAATATTCATCGATGTTCAAAACTATCGATGTTAAAACACTGTAATGTATTGCGATGCATCGCTGTTTAAACTTCTATCCTCTAGCAAAATGAGTTACTAATTTGAAAATACCCACATCAAATGTAAAGAAGTATTTGGTATAATTACAGTTCTATATGTATAGAAATATTATTATTTTATACATATAATCTTAACGGTGCAGATTTTCCTATCGAATACATCGTGTTTCATTTCGATACAAAAATGCCAAACGCCTGTTGTTGAAGAGGAAATAATTCACGCGGAAAATTGATTTTACTCTTCTCTAAAAATTACCATCGTGACTGTTAATAATGGAGATGTATTCACATTTGTGTTCATATATGTATGTACTCTGTTAAAACCGTATCAGCATGACCGGCTGTGTTATATTATAAACATTTTCGTATATTAAAACATAGTAATATTTTGGTTAAGGTAAATGCATTCAGTCCGTCTATCCGTCCGTCTGTGCGTCCGTCCGTATGACCACAAGGCTCTCAGAAGATACAAGAGCTAGAATTGGTAATTTGTGGGAGTTGTTTATTTTTAACCGACTACAAAAAAGGGGGAAGCTATCAATTTGTGTGTATTTTTTTCTTTTTTAATTATTTAAAGATTCTGAATTTTCTTTTGCTCTTGTTTTCCTTTATATTAATTTTACTTTTTGTTATAAATATTTTGTGTATCCTTTTTTCACATTGTTTTTCTATGTTACATTACTGAATTGTTAAAAAAAACCACGAGATTAACATAAAATATGATTATTAACGCTTAATTGTCAGAAAAACTATAATTGAACCCTATTTTTTTGAAACTGGTGTTGTTTTATCAAATACGAATTAAATAAGTTGGCGCAGGAATCATTTTAAATTCGAAACGAAAGTTTTTGCTAAGTGTAAAGTTAGTAGTATCAGATTAGAAAAAAAAATTGTCATCGTTACAAAAATATAACATAACTTGCTCATCTCTAAAATTCTAGACCAGTTTAGAAAGTCATATACATTATAGTTATAAACTTTGAACCCCGTTACCAGTTGGTTCTACATCGATTTAGGGAAGGTCATCTGATAAGTGGTTAGGAGTCTGTCAAAATAACACTGGCCGAAGTTCAAAGTTCATTTGCATTTTTATTCTCCACAGCAACAGCACATTCGAAGCGATAACAGAGTGTATTAGTAACGAAACTACCGCTTGGGAGTATACAGTTCTTTATACATACAAATATTTGTGACACTGACCAAGAAAATGGCTGAAGATAGATTGGACGTCATAATATTTGGTGCAACCGGCTTTACTGGGAAGTACACAGTTTATGAAGCAGTTAAAGTGCTGGACAACCTACGGTGGGGAATAGCCGGTCGTAACCATGATAAGTTGAAGGCAGTTCTCGAAGAAATGGGCACCAAGTCCAAAAAGGACCTCTCCCATATACCAATTTTTCTTGCTGATGTCAACGATGAGGCTTCCCTGCTGGAAATGGCCAAACGATGTCGCGTGCTTGTCAACACAGCAGGTCCATACCGCTTCTACGGCGAAAAGGTAGTAAATGCCTGTATTGAGGCGGGCACCCATCATGTGGATGTGAGTGGTGAGCCACAATATATGGAAAACATGCAGCTGAAGTACAACGAACGAGCTAGGCAGCGCGGTGTCTATGTGGTGAGCGCGTGCGGATTTGATTCCATTCCCGCAGATCTGGGCATTGTGTTCGTAGAGAAGAACTTTGACGGCGTGGTTAACTCAGTGGAGACATTTTTGCAAAGCGGTGTCGAGGACGGAAGTGCTGGTGGCGGAGCTGCCCTAAATTTTGGCACTTGGGAAAGCGCTGTCTATGGCCTGGCCCATGCTGATGAACTTCGCGGCATACGCCAGAAACTGTTCCCCGAACGTTTGCCCAAGTTCTATCCGATCCTGAAGCATCGTCCATTAATTTTTCGTTCATCGGAGGTAAATAAGGTATGCTTACCCTTCCCTGGCTCGGATCGTTCAGTGGTTATGCGTTCCCAGCGATATTTATACGAACATGAGAAGAAGCGCCCGGTACAGATGCATGCCTACGTTGCATTTCCATCGTGGATTGCTGCCATAGCTGTTGCACTCTTTGCTACAATTTTTGGCCTTCTCTCCAAGTTTAAATTTGGCCGAGACCTATTGCTGAAGTACCCAGGCTTTTTTTCGGGTGGCATGGTAGCTCGCGATGGTCCTAGCGAATCGCGAATGGAACGCTCATTCTTTAAAATGACAATGAAAGCAGTGGGCTGGCCAAAGTCCGAAAAACTGGGGGAGTGCACGGATCAGTACACAGATCCACCATCCAAGACATTAATGGTCAAGGTATCTGGCCCCAATCCAGGATACGGAGCCACTTGTGTAGCCCTGCTTTCCACAGCTGTAACAATTCTACGTGAAAGCAGCAAAATGCCCAGCACAGGTGGCGTATTTCCGCCTGGAGCTGCTTTTGCCAAGACGAGCCTAATCAGTGAGCTGGAGAAGCATGAACACGGAATGAAGTTTGAAATACTGGCCAACAAGTGATCTTTGGCATTAGCAACATGTACATTATTTTTATTGTTAATTCCACTTACAACATGTACATTTTTACTATTCCCGTGTTTTATCTTTGCGGTTGTAAAATAAATTTAATATATTACCAAATAAACACCCAATTGGTGCGGGCTTCAAAGCGTAGGTAATCTACCAAAATTTATTGGCTTTTAAAATGGTATATTGATTTAAACCATGATGGTAAAATTGGCAAATTCGTAATGGCTAAAAATACAACTTAGCTTTCTTTGCTGTTGAAAGGAAACGTTTCACAAAAGCTGATAACTGCTGAAATGTTGTAACACGCTAAAATACAAGACCGTACTGCAATTCTTCAAAAAAGATCAAAAATGCATTACAAATACAACAATTATATAGCATTATAGGCTTTAAGTATTTTATGTCAAACATTAAAAAAATTAGTTGATATATGTATGTACGTTGAGATGGGAATAGGACCCAAAGAACTTACTGGAAGCTGAGTTAACCGGCTCTAACCATAGTTGCAAATACAGGTTCTACTTGTATGTAACTGTGGTAAGTCCATACTCGTACATTGCTTAAAATACAAACTACTGGGTTGATTTAGAATTTGCGTAGCACTCAGCTTTTGTTGTCTATCAAAGGAACCTGCCATTGTTCAGTCAGCTGTTCACTTTCATAAACACCCTTCACGAAAATTCCGAGTTTCAGTTGCATTTCATAAGTACAGAAATTCAGGTAAGACCAGCTGGAATCCGCTTAAATCATACCGGCATCTCCACTATTTATAATTATAGCATGAATTTATGTAAAAATTTGAAGTTCTTACGCCTGGCGCGCTTCTGTATGCGCAGTTTTGGGATACTGCCGCCTGCAGCGACAGCGAAGGCAATGGTGAGCCGGCCCAGTAAGAATGCCTTTACGTTAGAACCCCTGGAAAACCGCGAGCTGATACGTGTGCACGGCGGCGAGGTTATACCTTTTCTGCAGGGCTTGGTGACGAATGATGTAGCGCGACTGCAGGCGTCCGATGGTCCGTCCTCTATCTACGCGTTATTTCTAAACCGAGGTGGTCGTGTGCTGTACGACACTATAATTTATCGCACCAACGATCCGAATACTTACTTGCTGGAATGCGATCGTGAGGCCTCGTCAGAGCTACGTCGCCACCTACGCACCTTTCGAGTGCGCAAACGCATTGAGATCGACAGCGTCGATGATGAGTACGTGCCCTGGGTTATATTTAACGAGGGTAAAGGGAACTCCTTGAATGATGCGTCGGTTGCGCCAGAACTGTTTATTACGCCAGATCCGCGCCTACCAACCCTAGGCATTCGTGTGCTGGCGCCTACGCACATGGGCTGGGGTCGTTTGGTGAAAAGCTTCTGGCGCAATAACGAGCTCGGTGTCTCGACAGCTACTCCCGAGAGCAATTATAAACTACTACGTTACAAGCAGGGAGTGGGCGAAGGCATTAACGAGTTGCCACCGGGAAAATGTTTACCACTTGAAGCCAATGCTGATTTTCTCAGTGGCGTTAGTTTCAACAAAGGGTGCTACATGGGCCAGGAGCTAACAGCGCGGGTTCACCACTCAGGTGTTATTCGCAAGCGGTATATGCCCATCCGCTTGACCGGGCCAGTAAAGAAATCCATGATTGTGAAATCTTTGGCAGGAGCGAATCTAGGACATCTCTTTGGCCACACGAACGATCGTGCGCTTGCCCTTCTTCGCATCGAGCAGGTGCTGAACGGTCAGCAGGAACTGATTGTGGATGGAGAGCGCTGCTATGCAGAGAAGCCATGCTGGTGGCCCATCGACTTAACGAGCAAGCGTCGTGCTGCACTTTCAACCGAATGACCAGATCCAAGTCAGGACAGTGATACAAAAACTGATGAGGAATCTAAGTGATTTTCACTTAATATAGATGTGATTTATTTAAGTTTTACTGTTATACATTTGGCTTATCGTCTATAGTTATACCATGTAATCGTAGTTAAAAATTATACCTTTGAACTGTTCAACACTCGACTTGCTCTTCCCTTTTTTCCTCTCCTTATTGCAGACATAAAAGAAATGTGTAGCCGCCAATTTGATGACGACAAAGAGTTGGATCTGCCACAAGACAATGAGGAGGCGGAAATAGCACGCCTCCAACTTCCTGAACAAAACCAGTCACTTAACGCACAAGAGGATGTAGAAGCGGATGATGAACGCATTGCTAGAATCGAATTTCACTGCAAGGAATGCGATATGCACGAACTTGTGCACTACTACGGCCGCAATCCGCCCTTCGCGCTGGGCGTGCAGTTTCGTGAAGATAGTTACGTTATGCGGGATCCATTTCAGGCGCCGCCACCCCGATGGCAGTCCAAATCGGAGAACTTTTTGGCGCTTGGAGCCAAGTGCACCACCTGCGCAAAAATAGTATGCAAGGATGCCGCATGCAGCATCTACTATACACACACATATTGCCTGCCATGTGCCAGATTGGAGCTTAAGTCGTGGCCAGTGGAGGCACAAGCAAAGCTACGAAAGCAACTGGTGGCAAAGGAAGCTGGAAGTTGTTAAGCGAAATAAACCGAGCTGGTTCAAGAGACTTCAATAAACATACATATGTACATTGTAGAGTATACCTTGAATACTTCAAATTACAGCGGGACATTATGAAACATGTACGTGCATGCCCTATAACAGCAATTTAAAAAAATTAAAGCTATAACGGAATTAAAATATACTTTATCATTGCAGTTATGTAGTCTTTCGTAGTCTTTCTGCCTACGTTTAGACTTTCTAGAAGGGGCAAAACGATTTGATATAAGTTCGCGGCTTATAAACGTGGAATAATTTATGTTATAAAAGATACACTGAAGTCAAGTTGAAGTTAACTTTCAGCTAATTTATTTTGGCTTCGGTGCTATTTTCTTTGCCATGGCCTTTAAACTATTATTGCCATTTTTCTTAGGTTTATTTTTAGACTTCTTGATGCCATCCACTTTAACGCCGCGATATTCCGATTTCTTCTTTTTGACTGTCGTTGGTTTCGCCGTTTTTTCATTTTGCTTGTTATTCTTTTTAGCAATACGTTTCGTGGCTCCAGTTTTATTTTGTGCCGATTTGGGGTTTGATTGAGAGTTAGTTGCCACATCTCGTGCCTGCTTGGCGCCCAATTTATCTACAGAATAACGTTCAACATTAATGGGCCTGTCGTCGAGCAAAGTCCCGCTTAACTCCAGTGCTAGCCCGACCGCATCGGCTTTCTTGTAACACACAAATGCAACGCCCTTGCAGCCCTTTTCACCATCTTGTAAACAGCGGATGTACTCGATTTCGCCACAACTAGAAAAAATCTCACGCAATTTTTCTTCATCCGCCGCTGAAATTAGTATAAAGACATGTTAAAGCACACGCACATTTGTAAAATAAAGATGTTTATTATTACTCACTGTATTTTAGGTTACCCACGAACACAGTGCGTTTCCTATCTCCCTCATTTGAATGACCATCGAGACCGTCGCCGGCTTTGGATGCAGGAGTAACACGCAAATGCTTGGCTTTGAACTCGGTGCCATTTAAAGCTAAGGCCTTTTCTGCTACATCTGCGCTGTCGAGCAGAACGTAGGCGTTTAAGGAGCTTGCATTTTTGCGTTGCTTATGCTTAAATAGTTGTTTCCCGCCAGCTGTGCGCAAACGTATTGACTGTACAGTTCCATAAGGCTGGAAAAGACGTATCAATTGCACGCGTTTCGTGTTTATCGGCAAATTGCCAACGAATACTGTGGCTGCCTCAGCGGCAGGGTCGCGTACCTTTTTAACCTTATCTATTAAATAAAAATGTTAATATCTGTAATTTTTTAATGAACAGGAATTTACCTAAGCCTTCAACTTCGTTCTTCTTTTTGTTTTTTGAGGTAGGTATTACTACATTTTTAGTTGGTTGTGGAGTCTCGACCACAAGATTTCCACCTTCTGGAGCAGGTTCAGTTTGAAGGTCATTACTGGACAGTTTCTTTTGCTTTTTACCTAAGCCTTTAACTTCGTTCTTCTTTTTGTTTTTTGATATTGGTATTACTAAATCTTTAATTGGTTGTGGAGTCTCGGCCACAAGATTTCCACCTTTTGCAGCAGGTTCCGTTTGAAGGTCATTACTGGACAGTTTCTTTTGCTTTTTTTTAAGTTTTTGGGCCTGCTTCTTGGCTCTTTTCTTTTCGACTTTGGCAATGTCCTTCTCTGTTAATCCAACTCGTTTAGCTTCGGCCATCGTGCCCGTTTGTTTTCTATTCAACGCATGGAGCTCTACCTTCACGTGTGTTTACCAGCTAGTGTTGGAAAATGATCAAATTTACGACAGGGCTGCTAGTGCTTGCAATTCCGCACGAGTACTGGTTTTTAAAACGGAAACAAATTCAAAGGCGAAATGAAATTGAAATGGCCAATCTGAAAGGGATTCCTATAAATATAAATAAATTTTATGAATGCAATTGCTGTTTTCTTTGCAGATAATAACGTGGAAACATTATTCGATTGATTCCATTGATGCATTGTACTGCCAAACAAATATCGAGTGTGGATGAAGTACTTTAGCGATTTCTTCGGATTAAAGGATTATTTATCCACTATTCAAAATCTTATAGCCGTCAAGTAGTTAAAATAATTTAAACTCCAAACACATTTTCTGCGCACATCTTCTGAGTGTTCACATAAAGAACATAAAGAACTAAAATTTGGTGTCCTTAGCTGTTATAGTCTCTGAGATATAGACGATTATACGAATGGAAAATCTAGAAATCCCCCACAGGGGAGAAAATCAAAAAAATAAAACAAACTTGCCCAGCTTACACACATAAGGCATCTGTGTGCAAAATTTGGTGTCTAGCTCTTAAAGTCTCTGAAATCCAAGTTTTTATACGGACAGACAGACAGACGGACATAGATCGGCTCGTCTTGTCATGCTGATCAAGAATATATGTACATATGTATGTATATAATTTGTGGGGTCTGCCGCGCCTCCTTCTGCCTGTTACATTTTTCAGCTCGGGCAAACCTAATATACTTTTGTACATTTCATGTACAGATATTATTTATTAATCATTTCGAATAATTATTTACCAAGCTATTTATAAGCTTTTTAAATAAATAAATAAAAGCAAATATTAACGTACCTTTAAAGTCGTCTTTTTATTTGATCTTTCGTGGTTCGTTTATTCTGTAGGCTTATTAACAGCATTATGTAATAGGGGTATACTACCCAGATGACGACAAAAGATTGTAAATCATTCAAAAGTGAATTTTATAAATAGATTCAGATTCGTACATACGCATGTCTACAATTAAATTAAATTATTGAAAAAACGAAAAGGGTTTTTAATTATTATTTACAGGCTTTAAGGGGTGTTTAGATTATAGCTAATGCATACATATACGAGGAATAAATTTTATTGGTTCCCTCGGTATGCATCTGAACAGTTAGTTTTGTTATTTAAGAAATTGATTGAACATTGAACATGCCTAGTTATTTCGGTTCCAATCGGACACTTCACAGCAAAAACACTAAACATCAATATTTAAAAGTTTTTAATATGATTACAGTTTTTCAATATTGCATAAGCCGTATTCTGAACAACAATTGCCCTTCATTTTTAGAGATTTTCTTCTTAAATATACATACATACATAATCCAAAAATGCTATAATAGCTGCTAAACTAGCTCGTTGTTCTTGATTCGAAAAAGGATATGTTTTGTTATACACATTTTATACCCAAACAACTCCAGTTGATGACCGACTCAAAATTGGATCTGGGAAACACCTGCTACCAATTGCAGAGTGTTTATAGCATGACATTTGTACGTCGCCCAACCGCAAAATATCAATCATTGGTAGCGATTGGGCATGCAAGGTGCTGGTGCGCTGCACTTTCCGCATAAAAATCGGGCGATGAGTTCAGGGTTCGTTGAATTTTTCATGTGAATGCCTCACTGGGCTTACTGGCACGCCAAACACAATTGAACCTTTGTTTTAATTGGTTTTTCGGGTTATAGGATAGACGACTTCCTTCGTGCAAGGACTTTCACTTTTCAGTTGATTTTCAGCTACCACTGCGTCATGAGGCTACCATTATTCCTTGCGCTATGGATTGCGCGGCAGTTCTCGACGATATCGGCCAACGATTTCTCTTCTTTTTTGAGCGCAAATGCATCGTTGGGTAAATTTTGATTGATTTTAGACCTTAAATGAAATTACATACATATTGGAATATTTGAAGCCGTTGTCGTTGATCACGATTACATGCACAAGCGAGGCCAGAATATAATAGCGCACTTTGAGAAAATCCTGAGCGATACCATACGCGAAAACATGAAAAATGGTGGCATTAATGTTCGTTACTTTACGTGGAATGCCGTCCGTCTTAAGAAGGGTAGGTGCTTTTCTATACTTGCCTCGGTGGTAGAACTTTTTATAGCCATTCATTAGATTTTCTGGCTGCCATTACTGTGACCGATTGTGAGAACACATGGAACTTTTACAAGAGCACGCAGGAGACATCGGTGTTGCTTATCGCCATAACTGATTCGGATTGTCCGCGATTGCCAATCAACCGGGCGCTAATGGTAAGCAAATGATTTCATAGACTTGCTTTGTTCAGTTAATTCAGCACCTAAATAGATACCTATGGTGGATCATGGCGATGAGTTTCCACAAATTATCCTCGATGCCAAGGTTCAGCAGATTCTGAAATGGAAAACAGCCGTCGTTTTTTTGGACCAATCCATACGTTTGTATTCCCGAAAACTTGTCAACTTGATAAATTTAAAACTATTGCTATATCTTCCCCAGTTGACAGTAACTCGATGCTGGTTAAGTCGATTGTGCACGAGAGCACAACTAATCACATAGCTCCCATATCTCTGATACTTTATAAAATTGACGACTCGCTGCGCGGCCAGAAGAAACGCAGCGCCTTGCGACAGGCCCTTGCCCAGTTTGCACCCTTCAAGCACGAGCTACAACATCAGCAGTTTCTAGTACTATCCCAGTTTTACGAAGAAATCATCGAGATTGCCGAGAGTCTTAATATGTTTCATGTCAACAATCAGTGGATGTTTTTTGTACTGGAGGAATTGCAACGCGATTTCGACGCCAACACCATCACCATTAATCTGGACGAGGGAGCTAATATAGCGTTTGCCCTAAATGCGACCTCACCCGACTGCATGGATACGCTAAACTGCACCATAACTGAGATTTCGATGGCCTTTGTCACATCCATATCACGCATGATATTGGAGGAGCAATCAATATACGGTGAGATATCCGATGAAGAGTGGGAATCCATAAGATCAACCAAACAGGAGAAACAAGACGAAATTCTAACCTACATGAAGGTATGTGTTACTTTTACTAATCACCAAGGTCGTTGACATGGGGGAGGGGGGGGGGGCGTTGCCAGTCGACCACACGTTCATTATTGTGACGCACTATTTCTCCTTAAAATGGAACTGAGTTGGATTTGCTGAAATTTTTCATAGATCATATGCATAAATTAATTTTTAAATGCATCGTGTATTATTTAATCAAAATTTCAATTTGTTGGCCCTCCCTTTGGTAAAAGCTGTGTACGCCCTTGCTAATCGCTCTTCGCAATTATCACAGATAGTTTCCCCGAAAAACATACATTTCTAGAGAAACAAATTTAAATAATTAATTGAATAACATAAAGTAAAAACTAAAGAGGCTTGAGGATATCATGGGCGCTAAAACCTATGAACATAAACATTTCTATTTTAGGATAAATAAACGTAATTGTGTTTTCAACACCCTTTGCTTGAAGATCCACCAAGCTCGGTATGTGAACAATCTCGTACAGAAATTGTTTACAGACATTACAGCTACTAATTAAAATGTTTTACTTATATGTATATGGTGGCTTAGTCTGCAAGCGGTGGCCTATTATCTGCCCAAAGAAAAAAGAATATCCCATTGATATTGCTCAAAAGTAAACTTCTTAATTCATTTTTTTGAGTCGTTCGACAATTATAAATGTAGAATTTCCCTCCAAATGTATTTCTAGTGGTTGGTTTTTGAGAGAATCAAGAGCGATTGCACCGCCTGTTATGTTTTTGATTGTACCAAAGAGAAAGTCCTACACTGTATTCACATTTCTATCAAATACCTCCAACATTTTCTACATGTTTATATGTTTTTTATTGGCTTAGGACTACCTAAAGAACAACAGCAGATGCGCTAGCTGCGCCAAATGGAGCGTCGAGACTGCCGTCACATGGGGGAAAAGCCAGGAGAATCGTAAATTTCGCAGTGGTAAGTAAGCAGAATGCATCCGATTTGGGATAATAAACTTAAACTACCAAATAGCACCGACACGCGACGCCAAGAATAGAAATTTCGAATTTGTAAAAATTGGCTACTGGAGTCCACTTCTTGGTTTCGTGTGCCAGGAACTGATGTTTCCACATATTGAACATCACTTTCGCAACATTACCATGGACATTGTCACAGTGCATGTGAGTCTTTGAATCAGGAATATAATTTTTATATATTGGTTCAAAATGCTCGTAGAATCCGCCCTGGCAAATTCTGACCAAGGACAGCCGAGGTGTTATAGTCGAGCATAAAGGCATTGTCATGGAAATACTTAAGGAACTGAGTCGAGCTCTGAACTTCACATACTATCTTCACGAAGTCAAGGAGGATGAATTTGATTACAACCTGAGCAGCAATGAAAGCGTAAGTTTCATACAGAACATTTGCAGTTCTAACCAATGTCATAGTTTAAAGGCAAACCATTAGAGATTATCAGCAGGGATTGCTTTTAAAGATATTCTATCTGAATTGATATTAATTCACAGATTTGTATCGCATTTTTGAGAAGCGTATTAGTCAACATGCATTTTAAAACCAGTAGAGAAGCTAAAGTCGGGTGTCCCGACTTTGAAATACTCTGTAGTATGTGTAGAATAATTATGCGTGTATGTGTTATAATGTTTCAAATTATATTTATTTTGAGTATGCATGACCTATCCATTTGTTTTCACCTCATTAAGTAGTTACCAGTAGGATAGCATTTAAGGTATTTAAATAAACATTTTCTGTTCTTGACAAAAAATTGTTCAGTAGTCAGTTACATTTTTTTCTACCCAAAATATTTCTTTAAACGTACACACACATGACCACTATAGCTAATATTTTTTAAAGCTCGTTTTCCCTCTTTGGAGCTCGAGTTTTCCAAAAGCCTTTCTTAGTGCGCACCTACACTATGATGGATACTATAAAAGGATACTTGAGTCCAAATTTGGAATTGTAGATTTTTCATACAAACGTTTGAGCTCGTTTTCCCCCCTTTGGAGGTTGAATTTTCCAAAACCGCTTGTTAGTGCTCAAATTCACTGTGAAAGGAAACTTGTGTACAAATTTAAGCTTCCTAGCTCTTACCGTTTGGGCTGCGCGTTGATGGCCAATCAGTCAGGACAAACTGTTTTATATATAGAGATGGCTAAAACGTCCTGTTAAATCGGCCTTACATTATGAAACTTGGTATTCGGATTCATATTCAGGTGTTCATACGGACAGACAGACAGGGCTAGATCGACTTGTCTTGTCACGCTGATCAATAATATATACTTTTTGGGGTCTGCCACTCCTTCTGCCAGTAACATTTTTCTGCTCGCGCAAACCTAATATACTCTTGTCCATTTCATGTACAGAGTATAAATAGTTCTACAGATATAAAAACATTTCCATTGGAATGTTAGAATCCTCTATGATCCAAAAATAAAATTATATTAATCGGATGATATTTCAAATAAATTTTCCTTTATTTGGGGTTCGATAATGCCAAGCTCCTTACTTAAAATACTGAAACGGGCTTGGGAAGTTTAGGTCATATTTTGTAGACAAAACAGAAATAATCAAGCAGGATGAGTAACTTTATGGCAAGTAAATTGAGATCACATTTCTTAAATGGTTACAGGAGGAACTGGTGGGTTCGATGACATTCCGAATTCCCTACAAAGTCGTCGAGTTAATGCAGGGCAATCGGGTAAGAAACAAATCTAATCTGAGCTCAATACTCAAGAAAAGCTTATTGTATTGGACTATTTTCAGTTCTTCTTAGCTGCTGTGGCGGCTACTGTCGACGAGCTGCAAAATAAACCCTTTAACTACACCCAACCGATTAGTGTGCAGAAGTATTCGTTCATTACACGACAACCCGACGAGGTGAGTCGCATCTATCTGTTCACAGCCCCCTTCACGCTAGAGACTTGGGGCTGTCTAATGGGCATTATTCTGGTGACCGCGCCGGTTTTATATGTGATCAATCGGCTATTACCGCTACACGAACTTAAAATTAGCGGCCTTAGCACGATGAAGAATTGCTTCTGGTATGTATATGGCGCTCTATTGCAGCAGGGTGAGTACAATATGACTCTCTCTTCAAGAGCTTAGCTAAATGAAGTACTTTATACATGCAGGCGGAATGTATTTGCCGAAGGCAGACAGCGGACGGCTTGTGGTGGGCTTCTGGTGGATTGTTGTTATTGTTCTCGTCACCACCTATTGTGGCAATCTGGTGGCATTTCTCACCTTTCCAAAGTTTCAACCAGGTGTTGACTTTTTAGGGCAGCTATCCCACCACAAAGAGATTAGTCAATATGGATTGCGCAATGGAACTTTCTTCGAAAAGTATACACAAAGCACCACACGCAAAGACTTTATGGACTACATGGAACGTGCAGTCATATACAGCAATGGCAATGCCGAAGACATTGCGGCAGTTAAAAGCGGCAGGCGTGTCAATATCGATTGGCGTATCAACTTGCAGTTAATTGTGCAACAACACTTTGAACACGACAAAGAGTGTAAATTTGCGTTAGGTAAGGAGGACTTTGTGGATGAGCAGATCGCCCTAATTGTGCCGTCGGACAGCGCCTATTTGAACCTTATCAATCACCACATCGACCGCTTGTTCCGCATGGGCTTTATTGAGCGTTGGCACCAGACCAATCTGCCCTCCATGGACAAGTGCAGTGGCAGAAGCTTGATGAGACAAATCACGAATCACAAAGTAAATCTTGAAGATATGCAGGGCTGTTTCCTCGTACTAATATTTGGCTTCTCTACCGCGGTGTTCGTGGCTTGTATTGAGTTCTGGTATTTTCGCCTTTATGTTCAGAGCAATCAGCGCAAACGCAGCGTCTTTGCCAACTGAGAAACCCTCAGATGATGGTAAGTCGCCGGTGGATTACTTTAAAAACTAAAAAATTTATGAAATAAGTTGTGTTTAATTGTTGGAAATTTCTATTATGAACATTTTTCAATAAAAAAGCGCGACTTTACATGTTCATCCATTACACGATAGGTATACTTTATGTCGAGTTAGCGTTGGGGCCACGGCGGCGACCGAAGCCTTGCACAATGTTCACGAAACGGCGATTGTACTGGATCCTGCGCTTAGCGCGGCCGGTCTTCTTCTTTTTCTTCTCCTGTTTCTCAACCTTAGGGGTCTGTCCCTTGACTTTGCCAGCGCGCGCCAAAGAGCCGTGCACCTTACCACCCAACAAGGGGATGTTGATGTCCAACTCGAATGAGCTCAGCGCGGTGACGGGTGTCTCGTTGGTCAACGTAGTACCCTCGCAGTTGAGGCTGATGTCCTCGGCGTTCATGCCGTGCAGCTGAGCTATTTGAGTCTACGTTCGAAAAAAAACAATTTTTAAATGAGGTTAGGTTAGGCGCTTTCATTGTTTTTAAAGTTGCAGCTGCGACGGACGCGTTACTCACCTTAACACCAGCGATGGTAGCATCTTGGCATACCTCATAGGCTTCAATATTTTCCAAACCACGTACGAAAAGCTGCATATTGGCGTGCTCTGCAATTAAATATAACATTTTAAACATTAATTTGGTTCACTGAAGCAGCAGCCCTAGCCTTTATAGATAGCCTAACACGTGTAGCTGTTTTCATAGTTATTTTCACACTTTATTGACATGTCTGCCACAGCACTTTATGTTCCATATATGGGACATACCTCCAACACCACTTCGCGTCCAATATTATTGTTGAAACGATTTATTTTCTATATAATTTTGCAATATTATCAATCTCACCTTGTCACTTGTTTGCGGATCTACCGAAAAAGAAAGATGGCGAGACAGGGCTGCGCAGACCGTAAGTTGCCAGCTCGCCGACCACTGCTGTATATGGTGCTGCCACTTATAGAAGCATAAAGCGTTGCCATATCTGGTGAACACAAGGTTATTCGTTTATTTTTTCTGAAATATAATCCATTTCATATAACAATAGACATAGACACATATAATTTGCATCGAAAAGAAAACAAATGATAGTTTTGTCAACTGATTAATATTTTCAATAGAATAATATATATTTCCGTATATATATCTCTATATATCTACATACATATGTATTTTAAAGTCCCCTCAGCTGTTCTCTTAAAGCACCACACATATTTGGCAATATGAGACTCAATATACTGAATGGAACAAGCATTTGGATCTTTCTTTTAAAATAACATGTCCATATATGAACTAGGGATGTAAGTCGAAGGGAAAACATCGATGTTGATGTACATCGATGTCTCGTTATAAAACATCGATGCATGGTCGATGCATCGCAAAAAAACATCGATGCATTGATGTTTTAAAAAATTAACTTTCCATAGAAAAAAAGCTATTATTAGGAAGCTAATCAGCAGAGAAGCTTGAAATAAAAAGTGTTTATATATCAAAAGAGACTGTCATAGCATTTTACTTAATGTTGTTAATCAAAATAGTACTCGTAATATTGACTTTTGATGAACTTGTAACTTATTATAACAGTTTTTAAAATAACGACGCGTTGCAGCTACACCTCTTAAGCATATTAAGTGTGACATTACATACGAAAAAAAGAAGATCAAATACTTAACAATCTAAAATTTATATTATAAAATACACATTTTAACGAAAACATCAAATAATTTATGATATAAATATACATACCATTTTCGGTAAACCACACAAAGAAATGTGACCGTCAAACAAAACATGAATAATGTTCGATGTTTGGACAAACATCGATGGATCGACGATGCATCGTTAGCAAAAAAACATCGGAAAACATCGATGCATCGTGGTAAAAACATCGTCGATGCTCGATACATCGATGTTTTTTTACATCCCTAATATGAACCCACTTACGAATTGAACCCGTAATTTTCCGGCTGTAGTCGAAAAGAAAATATCGTTATGGAAACGATCTAATTTTGTAACGTTACAAAGAGGAGTGGTTTATAGTTTTATAATTTTTATACTCTATATAAAATGTACAAGAGTATATTAGGTTTGCGGGAGCTGAAAATGTAACAGGCAGAAGGAGGCGTGGCAGACCCATCAGCATGATCATCATGACAAGACGAGTCGATCTAGCCCTGTCTGTTTGCCTGTCTGTCCGTCCGTCCGTATGATCACCTAGATTTGCACAAAGATGCCTTATGTGTTTGTTTTATATTTTTGATTTTCCCCCACTTTCCCCCCTATGGGAGATAAGACCTACGGGCACAAAATTTTAGTCCCAGATGCCTTATGTGGATACGCAGAAAATGTGTATTTTGGAAATTCCCTCCCTCCCCCTTTCCCACGCATTTCGTGATAACTCCCGTAATTCTTAGGATGGCAAATACTTGCAATTAGTGATGATGAGTCCGTATGCCTTATGCATTATGATAGGCCGATTTGAAATGAAGTTATACCCACTCTGCGCTGCTTACATACACACCCATAGCTAACCATAAGCAAGCAGAGACACCCATAGACACGCATACAGACACGCATAGAGACAATTCCTATGTAAATGTGAAGTTAAACACCCTTTACGTGAGTTTGAATTTCGATCAACAATTTGTATACCCTGTACCCAAAGGGTGAAAGGGTACAGGGTACAGGGTGTGCCAAATTTCATCATGATAGGTCAATTCTGAAGAAAGTTATAGCCATAAGTAAAATCGCTGCTCATGCGCTGCCTGCAGCTCTGTCGGCAGCGCTGCCCGCAGCTGTTGTTGTTGTTGCTGCTTTTGTTCAACTTTGTGCTGCATACATACACGCATATGAACACGCAAAGGTACGTGATGTAAATGTATGCTGTTTAAACTGAACATAAACATGTATTCTAATTTAATTAAATTAATTATTTTAATTAATTAATTCATTCATTTTTATACTCTGTACATGAAATGTACAGAAGTATATTAGGTTTGCGGGAGCTGAAAAATGTAACAGGCAGAAGGAGGCGTGGCAGACCCCACAAAGTATATATATTCTTGATCAGCATGACGAAACGAGTCGATCTAGCCCTGTCTGTCTGTCTGTCTGTCTGTCAGTCTGTCCGTCCGTATGAACACCTGGATCTCAGAGACTATAAGAGATAGAGACACCAAATTTTCCACAAAGATGCGTTATGTGTGTATTCTATACGAGTTTGTTTTATTTTTTTGATTCCCCCCCCCCCCCCCACTTCCCCCCTATGGGGGTTTTCCCGATTTTCCATTCGTATAATCGCCTATATCTCGGAGACTATAAGACCTAGGCACACCAAAGTCCGAGATGCCTTATGTGAATACGCAGGAAATGTATATTTTGGAATTTCCCTCCCTCCCCCCTCTCCCATGCAAATTCTCTAACTTACTAAAATTTTGCAAATACCCCCAGTTAGTAATTATGTGTCCGTATGCCAAGTTTCATCATGATTTAACAAGAAGTTATAGCCATAAATATATTTGAGGTAAAATCGATCAAAAAATTTTTTTTTAATTCTCTTACTTTTTTTAATTTCTAGAATTATTCTAAACATATGTACAGAGTATTTCAAAGACGGGACACCCGATTTAACTTTTTTACATGTTTTTTTTTTAAAATTGATTAATTATAACAATAAATTAGAATTTAACAATGTGCAATTTCTAAAATATATATTTGATATCCCACGCTTTTGATACATATTTGAAACTGTGCGTTCATTTATAAACTGTAAACACACACTTTATATATAATTATGTTGATAAGGATTTATAACCCGTACTCTTTATTATTTACTAATTATAGATACACACCAATTTATGAGCCAATTTTTGTCAAGAAATGAAATGAAATATTTACTTGAACAGTAAAACAATATTTCATAGAAAATAAACTGGTAAACTTAAATCGCGGCTTTTGTTATATACAAGTTATTCAAGTTTTGTGTTTGAGAGGAGCACTTAGTGGTTTCCGGAAAGTAAAGCGGCTATAAAATGTTCTTTTTAATCAGGCTTTTGTCGTAAATCGAAGATGCATAACCACACGTCATGTGCACAAAAGGACAGTCAAGCCGACGCCCCGATAAACCGGGCATACTTCGCCTTTGTCTCAATCTGTTCAAAAATAGGACCTACGATAATCCCGTCTGCGTTCTGGCCCACATTGCTTACAGACAGCGACACTGCCCTTTTATTTTCCCTAAGAAGAGTAGAACGCGAGGACATTCACAGCCAACACTTGCATGGCTGTGTTATTCTACGCCATTAGAATAAATATTGCCGCATTGTTTGTCAAACAGGACTAGATTAGTAACATAAACAGGCGTTCATTGAATGCAAATCATAAGCCGATTTCGCAAATTTGCACAAATTATCTGCAGCTAATGAGAGTGGCTTAAATTGTTTAAAGGAATCTGCGGGCGGGCGGATTTTAGTTAAGGTACTCGTACCTCTCCGTAGGTATACAATTTTATTGAGAAAGCCCAAGTAAGGATCATACAGTTCTTGTTGAATATGTATATGGGCTTTTCAATTCAGAACGACTGCAAACAGATGCTCAATAAATGGAAATGTGATACGTATTCTGGCATATGAAAATCTGAAGTATCCCTAAACCCTTTGTGCGGTCAGCCATTTCCTTCCGCTTTAGGTTGCCGATATTCATTTGAGATTGGGAAATGGCGCATGCGACGCTCTTCCTCCTGTTGTGCACTTCGGCACAACTCCTAGGCCCTCACATGATCAGCTTATCCTGGGATTACGTGCAGACATGGTCAGAATTTGCGTAAACTCATTTGTCAGACGTTGCCAAAGCCGCAGAGCACAAAAAAGAAATAAATAAATACATACATATATGTATATATGCATGTACATATATAAAATTCCTCATACGATTTTCCATAGGACGACGCACTTCTAGGGCTATGCCGCTTTGTAATATGATATGATTTTCGTTGTTTGCCAACAAGGCAGCGGAAAAACATATTAGACTTGACCCTCAAAATAGCAACAATTGCGGAATCGGCTCAGACCGTCAATGTGCTCGCCTGGCGTATCAATCGCCGGCTTTGTTTTCCATTTTCCGGCACTCGAATCGAACTCAATCATTACCATTCATACTTTCCATTTAATTTCTTATATGTGTTAGATATTCGCCAAGCTAATCGATGTGTGTGGGTGCGGGGTATCCGTTTGAACCTTTCGAACTAACAGCCTTCTCACTGTCAATAATTTGCTTTGAATAAGAAATCATGTTTGCCATATTCCCAATTTTGAAAATCACATCTACTATGTATATACACACTTAGTAAAATATCAGGTATTTATTTTGTATAGCCTGTACCCAAAGGGTAAAAGGCTATACTAGTTTTGTGCGCATGTATGTAACACACAGAAGAAGGCGTGGCAGACCCCACAAAGTGTATATATTCTTGATCAGGGTAGCAAGCCAAGTCTATATAGGCATGTCCGCCTGTCCATCCGTCCGCCCGTTCGTCTGTATGAGCGCAAGGATCTCATGATAGGTCAATTCTGAAAGTTATAGCCATAAATAAAATCGCTGCCCATGCTCTGCTTGTAGCGCTGCCCGCAGCTGTTGTTGTTGCTGCTGCTTTGGTTCAACTTTTTGCATACATACACGCATATAAACACACAGAGATACGATTCTGATGTAAATGTGTGCTGTTGAAACTGTACATGAACATGTCTTTAATTTAATTAAATAATTTAAATAAATAATTTAAATAAATAATTTAATTAAATAATTTAATTAATATACTTTTTTAATTATTTCAAAAAATTGTTTAAGCTAAGTAAAACTAAAGAAATAAAATGTCCTATAAAAATGACAAAAATAACTAATAACGAATCCGACACGGTGG